TTTAAGTTAACTTTAACCCACGACACAGGTTATACAGCACTTGGTTATACACTGATGTCTTCCCTTTAAATATGCCTTGCATGTTAAATCACTCAATCATAAAATGGAAGGATTTGCTCTCTTAAGGTTTGACAGTTTCTCAGAAAAAGCTCATACAAACTTTTTTTGCATATTGTTTCAGTTTCCACTAAACTAATTTACTTTGTACATTGCTACAGCCTGCAAACAAAGGAACATCGCTAGATTGATCTACACCAGTACAGTAAATGTGGTGTTTGGAGGGCTTCCTATTGAAGATGGTGATGAGGAAACTGTGCCATATTTTCCTGTAGAAAAGGTATTTTGGTTGTATTATATTTTTATGTGGCCTCTTTGTCCACTCTCTTGTTTCTGAAAAAGCCTGGAGTTCTCATGACCATGTTTTGCCTGATACCAGACTCCAGTGCCAAGAAAGAAAATTTCTTTCTAGATGCTATTCACAACCTTGACACATCAGTTTTATGTACATTGCAGTATATATTTCTTTATTTCCTGTCACGGCCTTGATTTTGGAAAACAACTTGTACAGCATTCCATTAATATTAATGAAATTCCACCTGGACATAGGGATTGTGTTATATGGCTTGCTGCCTTTTTAGACATGTGTTATTTATATGATTTGTCTGTTTCTCCCTTGTGGAAGATGACATATAGTCAATGCAGAGCTAGTATGGAAAAGCAGCCTAGTTTTACATGGTTTTGTTGCATTTAATTAAAAAGGAGAAAAAGTACTTCTGGGTTCTCTGCACACACAGTTGGCTTTTGTGTCCCTCCTTTCTCCATCAGGTATTTCAGTCTTTCAAGAAGTAGAGACAGAGAGAGAAAATATTGAACAATATATCAAATAATATTTTCTCTGGGACAGTGCCACAAGAAAGTGAACAAGATAATTCAGACCAGTCCTAATGTCTTCAAAACCTGGCTTTTGACTTTTCCGTTACCTGAAAAAGAAATCCAGATTACCAAGCAGTGATCAATTACATCCTTGGCAGCATCCAAAGCATACATATTTATTGCTTCTCAAATTAGAAGAAATTAATTAACTGGATTTTCATAAACAGAAATGCTTGTTTAACTTAGCAATATGCATGTGTTTATCCCAAACTAATACCTCACACCTTCTGTATTTTGAGGCATTTGTTGCCATCTGCTAAGTAAAAACTAGTGGAGAAGAGATGCCCCTCTGCCGGTCATTTCAATAATAGATAAAAACATATTTGCTTTTTCTCTGTAGCATGTTGATCATTATTCCAGAACCAAATCAATTGCAGAACAAATGGTACTAGCAGCTAATGGAACTCCACTAGCAGGTACTTTTGTCTTAGCATGAATTCATGGTGGAATTTACTCCTCTTCTTATTCCTCACTAACATCCTATATCCTGTATCAATCCTTAGTGGACAAGATGATCCAGCAATTACAAAATCAAGTTATCTACCCTCTCTCACAAACTAAAAGATTTTCACTTAAAAATAACTTTTAATTCTTTTTAGTTCCTACAGTGTCCTTAAAAGGTTTTAGCATGGTAGCAAGGGGTTCAGTATGTTAATTGAAATGATGAGGACAGTTATAAATTAAACAAAACTGAGTGTTTAATGTCACTGTATTATGTAACATAAGTAAAACATGAATGCTGATTGAATTGTTGACACACACACCCCCGTTATATATTAAAATCTGAAGAAGCCACCTGATACTACAGCCTGGAATTATTTATTAGTGCTTCCCAAAGTTTTCCATGTTGAGGAAGCCAGTTATCCACTTTAATACTGAAGCTCACCTGTGAGATACTATAACTGCCAATGCAAAACAAATTAATGTAAAGTGCAACATGATTCTGTGTGACCAAGTGATACCAAGCTAAATTTAGCTGTAGACAACTTACAGAAGAGACTCTCTCCACCTGATACTTGCAGAGAGCTATAAAGAGATATAAAGTCTTTGATGGGCATTCCATCCCAACAGAATTACTTTGTTTAAAAAAAAAAAATTTTTTTTTGGGGGGGGGGGGGGTTGTCCTTATTTCCTCTTTTCTCAGCAGCTCTCCACATCAAAGACCCTCTTAATTTTAGGAGCAATACAGAGTTCTGCATTTCTCAATGAAACTAGAATGTCACTGTTTGAAACAGCCCATTTTGATCCTGTGCCATAGCAGGATTCAGTATTTTACATGTTTTCAGGCATTATTAAGAGCAGTTATTAGCAAATGATGAACCAGCCAACTGATACACCTGGGTAGCGATTAGATTTTTATGATGTCCTTACTTTCTCCCACTGAAACTATCAAGAGCTTCTACAACAGTTCTAGTGGGAGCTGGCTGCACCTACTGTTGAGAGAACTTTTCAGCTCTATCTTGTACTACTAGCGAGTCGCTGTTGCCCACCAATAATTTTGTATGAGATTCGTTGGTTTCATTCCACTTTACTACCAATAACTTGCTCACTTCAGCAAACTCATCACCACAGTTGGCACGTTCATTCACTGCTTTGGCACAGAGAAATACCTGGTAATTTCTAGGAATCTGACTATGCTGGCAGGACTTCCCTGAATCTTATCTTGCTATTTCGCATGTTCTGATTCTGCCAACTTAATACCCAACTACTAATTCAACACCTTTGGGTATGTATTCTTTTTTAAGATGGTGAAGTTAATTTATTGCAGAGTAAGTTCTGCTACCACAGTTTTGGTTCATACAAAGATAAAATGTAGTCATGTGAAAGTCACTTAAGAATGGTCTTACCGATTCTTCTAGGAGGTGGAATACTCTATACGTGTGTTCTTCGCCCACCAGGAATCTATGGACCAGAAGAGCAAAGACACTTGCCAAGGCTAGCAGTATGTATTTTCATTTTTTAAGCAGCAGAATCTTCTATTATATACAACAGCATCACTGATTTGTGTTATAAATTGACTGACCTGCTTATTGGGCAGCAATTCAACGAGTCAATTGTCTGTTGAGGATATTTTAACTTTGTTAACAGGCACTATATTATATCTGTAAATAATGTGTAAGTACAATACAAAAGCCTTTTTTTGAAATATAAACACATGTCAGTCCAGCTTTATAATTTAATGCTTACTATCATTACAAGATTCAGGCCAATCTATGATATTTCAAATGTCTGTTTGCATGCAACTTACACCAAATAGTTTAAAATATTAATGAGATACAGCAAAATATCTTATTTCCAGTCTCAACTATTAACAGCTTTTACTATCCAATGAAACAACTTAAAGTTGGAAGCATCTTCTGGTACAATAGGTTACTAAAGGGCAAACACCTGAGGTGCTCATGTTTTACTCATTTTCACTTGCTGTCTTTTAAATTGTAGGACTAGTACAGTGTTTAGACTATGATCCCTGTAGAATTACAAGTCTGTTATTTGAAAAGCATCAGTACAATATAAAGTTACGCACAGCTCTGAGGAACGAGTAAATTCAAACTTACCAAATAATTATTTTTGGTTTGTGACTGAGGCAGGGAATTATACTGAAGTCAGATGAAATATACTTTATCATCTTCTAAATAAAATATTTTTTTAAATGGCAAATGTCATTTTAGTTAAACTTGAGATGTTTTCTTTATCCCATGAAAAAAATACAGTCTTTTAAAATTTCCAGTTAAGATTTTAAGCTTATTTGTTATGAGCCCATTTTAAGGCAAGATGCAACTGTCACATTTTGCAGTTTCTGAATTGCTCCTGTTAAATTAAAAATGTGACATGTAACATTACCTTCAATTTTTTCCCAGCCAAAGCTATTTTATAAATTTGATCCAATTTTGTTAATACTTTTGATCCATTCAGAACTGTATTTTATGTCTCCATACAATATTTAACTTATCCTTAGAACAGACTTGTATGTTTTGTGAATCCAGCACATATTGTGTTCAATACATTCTTTGATCCTTCTTCATGAGCAGTATTTTTAGAGCTCTCTGCACTTCTCTCAATTCTTTTTAATTGATTCTTTTTTTTTTTTTTTTTTTAATAAGTAGAGACAACCTACAAGTAGCTGGACAAGAAAGTGCACTGTACCTCATTTTAAAACCCATTTTGCTTTGGTTTCATGTTTGTTTATGTCTACAGAAGAACATTGAGAGAGGACTACTTAGCTTCAAGTTTGGGGATCCTTCTGCTAAAATGAACTGGGTGCATGCAGAGAATCTCATACAAGCTCAAATACTAGCTGCTGAAGCTCTCACCCCTGAAAAGAACTACATAGCTGTGAGTAAACAGTAAAAGCACCACCGTTCTCATTTGACAGTGGATCCTCCACTGTGTCCTGTACTTAGCAACTACTGTAGTAGCGGTAGTTTATGTTAGTGTTATGGTCCTTTAGTGTATGTTCTTGTCTGCTTTTAGTCGATAAATGTGCTATGAACAGTGCGGGACCTGGCAGTGTCAGAATATTCAATTCTGTAAGAATACCTCCATCTTTGCAATTTTGAAATATAATAGTCACCATTTCTGGAAGATGAGCAAAAAACATTTGCTATGTTGGAAATGAACTTGGAACTTTAGGGAGATTTAGCCCCAGTTCCCCTGTATCCAGACTTAACATTCAGAACTGTGATAGATAAGTTCTTGCCATATCACATGCAAATAAAAGCATATTTCATTTGGGTTCATTGATTTCAAAAATAGTTGCAACTGTTTTCCTCCTTGTAAACACAGTTTTTTATTTGACCTAGAAGCACTATCCTTAAAGCATATTAGATTTTCAAAGCAGATTAAATTACTTTTTCTAAAACCCTAAAAGCATAAGGGAAAGAAGTAATTTCCGCCTTTGTTACACTGATGGAGTCTTAATTAGACTGAGAGCAGAACACGTCCCACCATTTGGTGGCACCACTTCCAGTGCGTTCGGTAATCCCTGTAGAGTCAGGACAGCCATTCTGTATAGGCCTGTCTGTAACAAATCATTTATACCACGGCACGTTAATCACATAAACCACTTGCCCCCCAATTTCATTGCACATGTTAGTGCAACTGATTGAAGCACGTGTAGATAGTTTGCTGGCTTGTCTGTACATCATGCATATTTTATATTGCTATATTATTTTTAAGCTCTTCATAAGGAGCGAGATAAAGCCAAAGTCAATATACATGCAGTATTATTTTTGCTAACTTGTCTCTTCTCTACCTCTTTAACAGAGTGGCCAAGTGTATTTCATTAATGATGGTGAAAAATTAAACCTTTTCGAATGGTTAACTCCTCTTGTACGTACAATATATATTTTCTCTCCAAATAGATTAATTTTTTTTTTACTGTATACAACTCTAGCTTTTGTGTGCATGTTACACTGGTATCTTTGCTTTGGGTGTAAGAGTTCTGTTCTGAAAGTGGGTTTAATTCCTGCTTGAAGCTCCATGTGGTTAGTGCTGTAACAAAGCCTGCCTAAAATATTACATGAAAGCAACTGTCTTCACTGAGACCAAAGGAACCAGTATCTAAACCAGTATCTCCTTTGAGTTGCCATTATCTTAATTTCTTGTTAACAGCGGCTATTTTGGGTGTATGAAAAATAGAAATCCTAATTATTAATCTCTAATATGAATTATTTTCAGGTGGTCATTTTATTGTCAATGATGGGCTCAAAACCATAAATATGTCACAGTGTTAAATTAGGTATCAACACAATGTGACATTTTGACTATTATAAACTTTTTTCTTCATTTTTTTTAAGACTGCCACTTGAAAATTACGTAGTGTCTCCATATGACATTTAACTGGAGTCGCCTGAAAAATGAAAACTCAAATACTAACAGCAATTATGAATTGTTCTGTTTTATCAGTAAACATTTCACAAATATCTTCTATATTGAAACTTTGAAATGTGTTTGAGGTTTTTTCCACTGTTTTTACATTTCTTTCAGTTTGAAAGATTAGGTTGCAGTAAACCATGGATACGTATTCCTACTTCCTTAGTTTATGCATCAGGTAAAAACATTTTATCAACATTTCTCTTTCCTGTCCACACCACCTTCATTCCAAACTGTAATATAATGGTTTGGGTTTTTTTAATTTGCCCACAATTTTCAGTCTCATGTAAAAAATAATATGCTGTGGACTCATCTAGCGTGCAGCAGTTTGGGGTGAAGTTCAGCTCTGTGCAATGTGTTGGAACCAGAACGATCTGTTATTTAAGTCCCACAAAAATGTGTTTTATGTAGGACTTAACAGATTTATAACTTTGTGCAGCTAATGGTATAAATGTAAAAGTTAAATGTAAAAATCCATGACTTCATGAAAGACACTGAAGAGTATCTGCTTTGCTGCATGGGTACATTTCTTGTTCTCCTGTATCCTGTGCTCTCTCCAGAATCAACACCCCTGTGCAGCTAAGACAGAATCCAACTTTTTTTGTTGTTACCACATTTTTTATGAATTCTCATGATCTTTTCACTAGACCTGTCACCAACCCTCCAAACCCTTTTCATGCCAGCACCCTAGCTCAGGCTGACTGAAGTATTAAAATTAATTCCAACCCCTTGTGGGCAAGTAATCCTGTTGATGTTGGTCATGGTGCCCTGAGCTCGTGGGTTTGTGATTATCCTTCCGCATCAAAGGCAATGCGAGATATGCCACAGTCACAAGGGGATAGCGCATTACTGTTCTCAAGTAGAAATCTTTTGTCATGCAGCCATGATAATGGAATACCTTCACCTGATGCTGAAGCCATTTGTTGAACTGTCCCCACTGCTGACCAGAAATGAGGTAAAGTCTGTGTTTGAAAGCTCCCCTCATTCTCACAGGACACATACACACACGTTAATAGTGAGCTAGAATTTAAGTCAGTAGAACGTAAAATCCACCCAGTACTACTTCACTCTCCAGTTTCTAGTGCAAATGTATGCATCACATACATTTTAGGCAATATATTATGCTTCCTACCATAATCTTTGAAAAGATAAGAGTTTATGCTTGTGATCTGAGGGGGGCAGCTTCAGCTCCTTCCTCCCAAGGGCCAGTATCCTGGATGGCTTTGGCTGGCCAGCTGTGTCCTGATTTCTGAAGATGTTTAGGCACCCAAGAGATGGCTTTTATCTGCCTCCTTAGGTACATAAACGAGTGCGGAACATGTTTTGTGGATGTTTTCAAGGCTAGAAGATTCTGCCTTGCAGCTTTTACTGCCTCTTTGGGCTTTCAGGATTCTCTTTTTGAGTGAACAATTTTAAAGATAATGTGACATATGTCAATAGGACATCAGTATAATGTTGTGGGGTCTTTTTATTTCACATTTCCTTTAACTGTGTCTTTGCCACCATTTACAGGCTTTGTTCTAATTTTCTGTGTGCTCATATCTTTGTATGTTGACTCTTTTGCCCTATAGGTGCAGAACATTTCTATAACTCATACATTTCGGATAGACAAGGCACGGAATCAGCTAGGGTACAGCCCAGAGAAGTTTGCGTTTGCTGATTCTGTGGACCACTACATTAAAACAAGACCAGAAGCCCAGAATGACCACATCTTCCTCAAAGTTTTGCTTTCTTTAATTGTTAGTTTAAGTTTGATCTTTCTTTCTTTAAGATTTGATGGCCTTTCAGTTTTGCATTTTTTTAAAGAAACACAACACTGACTTGCATAAACTGCGTGTACTCGGTCACAGTACTGCTACCTGGATCACTCCGATCTCCACAATATTATGGGCCACAATGCAATAAACAGACAGTTCTTTTTACATTGAAAGACAAAATTGTAACATGTCAGTAGCTGTACTTGAGAAATTATGGCCGAATCACTGAAACACACTGGTGTCAAGATCGTTGCATCTGTTTAACACCAAAAAAACAACTTCCCAAATGAGAACGTGCAGAAAGAACAAGAGCTACGGAGTCCCTGCAGTGCTTCACCAGTGAAGAAAAATGGCTAAAATAAGGAGAAAAACTGACCACAGCTCTGCCCTGGGGAACTGAGGACCAAGCAAAGGAACAGAACAGATTACTGTAAATACCATCTACCAGCTGTACAGAGTTCACACTGTGTGAAGTTATTTTGTGAATTAGCTGTTATCACTGCATATGAGGGAAAATAAAAGGTTACTTGAAACTTTGCTGAAGTTAGTCCCATGCCTCTGCGCACACTGTTCCAGAACTGTCCCCTGCCCTGCTCCGGGGGGGCAGAGCCCTCTGTGACAGCACTTTGCAGCAGTTTAGAGGCCTAGGGGTACATGCAGGTATGGGTTTTCACGAGTCAAAACTCTGTATTTTCATTAAATTGGAAGCTGTTAACTCAGGTACGTTAGTTAAGTGCATTTATGTCACAGTAGAGGAATCTGCCACTATGGGTCGCACTAATCTCGTGTACTGCTTCCTTCACCTCCCGTAGGGACTGAGGACAACAGCAATCAAGTTTAGTTGCTTATCCGCTGAACTTCAGGCATAGCTATGTTTTTGCACCTCATTTTTAAAGTATAGGAGATGTAGGGAGCAAATCCTTGAGGCAGCTAAAGTGAAGAACACGCTTTTGAAGTACTGTTCAGCTAAAATGGGCCCAAAGCACAGGTGCTCCTGTACGCTGCTCGTGCTGGTGATTGGCCACAGCAGGCTCTGGCCCCTCTGCACGTTTTCCAGCCTGTAACGGGGGAAGGGAACAACCACGAGCACGATGCGAGCAGAGACAGCTTCGGAAAGGAGACGGGACTAGGGACGAGACAGGAGAGCCAGAGAAATCAGGGTCTGGGGGGCGAGTAATCCTGGGGGGGGATGTGATAATTCTGGAGAAGGTTTCTGGAGAAGGTGAGAGTGCTCGGCCCTCACCTCAGCTGTGCCCGTCCGGGCAGGCAGCAAAGGCCGGGTGCAGAAACCCGAACACAGCAGGGGAAGGCAGAGCTGCCAAAATTAGCATTGACAATTTTA